AAAATGGTGACCGTATATAGTGAGCATTAAGTGAAAACCTGTCGGACATTGAAAAAATTGAATAAATACGCTTATGGTTATTTTATAGTATTGTTTATTTATTTATTCAAAAGATTTTTTTCTGTTTTCTAGGAAAAACAACAAAGCCTCATGACACCTTACCAAGAAAATGGTTACATATTAGAAGGACATCTTCACATCTTGGATAACTTAGGGCAGATCGAACATAAAAAAGGTTAGTTTAATTTTCTATTTTTATATCTAATTATGTACTTCTGCGCGACATACTATTAACAGCTTTTGATCCTGTCACACCCCTTAAAGTCTCCAGAAAATTTTGGTTTGACTTTTATCGGAATCGGTCAGTTCATTCTGAAAATATGGGCCGCACAGTGGGCTCAGGAAAACGATAAAAATATTATGAGGGTGAATTATGCAAATTGGAAGGGCTGTAGTACAGACCAGGATAGTCAGATTGCGTAACATTCCTAGGGCGTCGAACGAGCCCTGGTTGGTGCAGATAGGACGCCGTGCCGCGGAGCTACCAATATTCAAGTGCGGTCCTGTTCCTGAGTTCGAATTTCCTCAATTTGACTTTGTTTAGGCTGTGGCTGGTAAACGGTTGGACTATTTGGAAAAATTCTTTCACGGACTGATGCCCCGGCTCAGTGCGAAAATTATAGGACATGTGCGGTCGAAATCTGTGCCGATCAGAAATTCAAAATTTTTAAAATTTTATTTTCTTTCGAAATTAAGTTTCTCCTGATCACGACCATGAGGGTCAACCGCTGGTGAAATAATTTTTGCGATATCTTTAATAGTTCGTCAGATATGTTCTCCTAAACATTTAATTCTCAATTTTAAAAATAACACTGGGCCAAAACTTCCAATAGCTGTAACTCTGTAAGGGAATATCGTAGGGCGGCGCTTTTGATCTCGACGTGATGCACAGTGTCTCTAGAAAATTTTGATAACACTCCCATAGAAATCGGGCAATTTAATCAGAAAATATGAGCCATACTGTCGACTCAGAAAAACGCTAAAACGAAAAGTAGGGTAAATTACGCGAATTCGGTTGGCGCTAGAGCAGGCCGGGAATGTCATAGGTCAATGGGGTTGTTATCAAAAACTTCCCCCATGCATTGGGTTTCGAACCATCTATAACTGGAACGCATCGGACGTCGAGGTGAGGAGCTATGAATTTTCAACTGCGGCCATGTTCCTGAGCGAAAAATTTACAAATTTGGCCTTTTGTACCCTGTAGCTCGAAAACGGAACCACTTATCCGAAAAATTCTTTCACAGACGGATGCCCCGTCTCAGCGCGAACAATATGAGCCGTATGAGGTCGCATTCGGCGTTGATGAAAAATTCAAAATTTTTTAATTTTTTTTTGTTCAAAATTAAATTTTTCCCGTAGTTTTAGGCACGGGCCAACCGTTGGTGAAAGAATTTTTGCTCTATCTTTAATAGTTCGCCAGATATGTTCTCCTAAACATTTAATTCTCGATTTTAAAAATAACACTGGGCCAAAATTTCCGGCAGCTGTAACTCTGTAAGGGAATATCGTAAAGCGGCGCTTTTGATCTCGACGTGATGCACAGTGTCTCTAGAAAATTTTGATAACACTCGCATAGAAATCGGACAATTTAATCAGAAAATATGAGCCATACTGTCGACTCAGAAAAACGCTAAAACGAAAAGTAGGGTAAATTACGCGAATTCGGTTGGCGCTAGAGCAGGCCGGGAATGTCATAGGTCAATGGGGTTGTTATCAAAAACTTCCCCCATGCATTGGGTTTCGAACCATCTATAACTCGAATGCATCGGACGTCGAGGTGAGGAGCTATGAATTTTCAACTGCGGCCATGTTCCTGAGCGAAAAATTTTCAAATTTGACCTTTTGTACCCTGTAGCTCGATAACGGTACGACTTATCGGAAAAATTCTTTCACAGACGGATGCCCCGTCTCAGCGCGAACAATATGAGCCGTATGAGGTCGCATTCGGTGTTGACGAAAAATTCAAAATTTTGTAATTTTTTTTCTTCAAAATTAAATTTTTCCCGTACACTGAGGTACGGGCCAACCGTTTGGCAATTGCGTTTTATTACAATTTCATCTTTCGGTTCAATTAAGTTAAAATTAGACAAAAATTATCTCATTAGTTGTAGGTAGTTGGTTTAATTATTTATTCTGGCATACTTATTCGAAATTTGGTTATTACGGCTTACGTTTTCAGAATTATGTTATGAAATTTGAGCAGAATTTATCTGACTTTTTTTTGTATTTCATTCGATTTCAAGAAGTAACTGTTGAACAGAAAGCTCTCGATAATAAATAACACGATTATCTAAGTTTAACGGTCGCAGGAAGGTTATTTTGCCCATATTGTGTTTATTAGTGTATTCGTGTGAATAATTGTTTGCTCGAAAGAAATACGAAATTTTATTAAGAAATTAATCATAGATGTTTAGTT